GGGTGGGGGAAACTTGTTTCGGAATGGTTAGTGAAAGAGAAAGAGGTGGGAATTGGGATATTTAGCGCATGCGCATGATATTGAAAATGAATAATAGCAGCAGAGGATTGCTTGAAACGTCGCAAATTCGTTTAATGAATTACGTCATAAATTGCAATAGATGATTGAAATGCGCAAAATCTTCTCAATGCATTCTAGAACATTCCCCAGCCGTTTACATGAAGCCTTTTCACTGGGAGCCCGTCAGTCTTCATTATGGATCACTTGAACCCAGGCGAAGTGAAATTACTGTGTGCGCTCCCACCATTTTTGGTGGACTACGACGATATTGTCATCAGACATTATGGTGATAATCCACCACAAACGGCATGGAATTGTCTCCACGATTTGCTCGAACTGAAGGAGAATTTGGAACTTGTGAACAGTATTCGCATTGGACCAAAAAGCGAACATAACCTAACTTCTGACGAAGTTAATTTGCTAACCTCAATAGCACCATACGTCTGCGAATACGATGAAATCATCATAAATTACTACGGCATCAATCCATCGCAAACGGCATGGGATTTTCTACAAGATTTCCTGGAATTGCAAGGAAATTATAAAATTGTTAAATTTCGTCGTAACTTGGATATGGACGAAGGTGAGGCGAAAGAGGAGAAAGAAAAACCAGTCGCTAGTACTTCACCAAAGCGCGACGTAAAGATCCCTCGTGCTGAAGAACATCTGGAAGAGGAACCAGTACCCAGTACTTGGAGGGTTAATAATGGAGATGAACGTTCTTCTGCGGTAAAACGTTCCCACTGTAAGGAGAGCAGCCAACAACGGAATCATCATCCTTACAGACGTAATAAGTTTAAGAGATCGAGGAGATTTTGATGTTCATTCAATAAAAAAATGCTGATATACATATAAGGTAGACAAAAATTTATTACATCAAAAAAATATTACATGGAAAAAATGAAAAATCACTGATAACCATAATTGTTCATGTTTAAATCATGTTTTTCACCCCCCACTGATTGGATGATACTCCACTATACGATCATGTAAGATTAGGCAATAAGCTGCAGTTTGAGCGGCAAAATTACGATCAGACTCGAATTCAAAACGAATATCAACTGGTCCGGACAAGTACTCATTTTGCTTTGAACAATCAATGAAAATGAGCCTCTTTACCATAGTAAGAGCTTTGGAAATTCGAATACATGTCATAGAGTAATGCGTACTGATTATGACTAATGTCAAGGTTCAGGTTATCATAGGGGTAACTTTGAGAATTGAGGAAGAGCTTGATGTCGCGGATATTACAATGATCGAAACGACTGGCATTTTTATTGGTTTGATTTTTGCGGTTCGTTTGGAATCCTACGATGATATAACGAGGTTTCTCCAGTTGAGTTGAGCATTTCACCACCCAGACGTGTTTAGAGTCAGCTACTCTGATGTAGGGAACCGTCCACTCTACTTTATCCAGTGAGAGTCTGAATGCTTCGGCAGCAGCTCCTCCTGCCGGTGCTTGGATGACTGCATTCATGTCGGTATTTCCTCGTATCAGGATTCGTTCATGTTTTGCATTTACAATGATTCTTTCATAATCCTCAGCAAAACCCAACAACATACTCAAAGGTATGGAGATGTCCAAATAGCCATTCGCATCGATAATTGCTGATTAGTTGTCCTTGACTACCCAACCAGCATTCTCCAGAAGAGCAGCTTGACCGGANCTGATAATTTTGGACAATCCAAATCTTCCAAATTGATCACTGATTTAGAATTTCCTAGGATTTCTTGAAACCACAGTTTTTTCTGTACTCCTTTCACGANGTAAGATTAGGCAATAAGCTGCAGTTTGAGCGGCAAAATTACGATCAGACTCGAATTCAAAACGAATATCAACTGGTCCGGACAAGTACTCATTTTGCTTTGAACAATCAATGAAAATGAGCCTCTTTACCATAGTAAGAGCTTTGGAAATTCGAATACATGTCATAGAGTAATGCGTACTGATTATGACTAATGTCAAGGTTCAGGTTATCATAGGGGTAACTTTGAGAATTGAGGAAGAGCTTGATGTCGCGGATATTACAATGATCGAAACGACTGGCATTTTTATTGGTTTGATTTTTGCGGTTCGTTTGGAATCCTACGATGATATAACGAGGTTTCTCCAGTTGAGTTGAGCATTTCACCACCCAGACGTGTTTAGAGTCAGCTACTCTGATGTAGGGAACCATCCACTCTACTTTATCCAGTGAGAGTCTGAATGCTTCGGCAGCAGCTCCTCCTGCCGGTGCTTGGATGACTGCATTCATGTCGGTATTTCCTCGTATCAGGATTCGTTCATGTTTTGCATTTACAATGATTCTTTCATAATCCTCAGCAAAACCCAACAACATACTCAAAGGTATGGAGATGTCCAAATAGCCATTCGCATCGATAATTGCTGATTAGTTGTCCTTGACTACCCAACCAGCATTCTCCAGAAGAGCAGCTTGACCGGAAGTTTGCGACACGTAATTCTTCATCAGTGTCGTGATGCCAACATTTTTGTTTCTATCAATCACAATGGCGTTCAATTCATAGCGGATCTCCTCAAATAAATGGAGGATAGCACAATTCACTAATCTCGTGTGCGCTACAGCTCCTCCATCCGCTTTCGTCAAGGGTCCGTGTACATACAGTGGACTCTTACTCGGCAGCAGGCACAAATCTTGATGCTGGGCGACGATGCGAATTTCATCGTTGTTGTTGAACGTTGCCGATGCCAAAGGCTGATGTGCATGAACCTCGTAATGGGCGATATATTCATCGAAGACGATGGGTTTTTGAATTTTCAAGATCTCCNCAAATTGATCACTGATTTAGAATTTCCTAGGATTTCTTGAAACCACAGTTTTTTCTGTACTCCTTTCACGAAGAGGTTAGTTGCATTTTTAGCGATATCCTCAACAACTTGTGGAACCTTAGAGTACGGTATTTCACCGNGAGGTTTCTCCAGTTGAGTTGAGCATTTCACCACCCAGACGTGTTTAGAGTCAGCTACTCTGATGTAGGGAACCGTCCACTCTACTTTATCCAGTGAGAGTCTGAATGCTTCGGCAGCAGCTCCTCCTGCCGGTGCTTGGATGACTGCATTCATGTCGGTATTTCCTCGTATCAGGATTCGTTCATGTTTTGCATTTACAATGATTCTTTCATAATCCTCAGCAAAACCCAACAACATACTCAAAGGTATGGAGATGTCCAAATAGCCATTCGCATCGATAATTGCTGATTAGTTGTCCTTGACTACCCAACCAGCATTCTCCAGAAGAGCAGCTTGACCGGGAGTTTGCGACACGTAATTCTTCATCAGTGTCGTGATGCCAACATTTTTGTTTCTATCAATCACAATGGCGTTCAATTCATAGCGGATCTCCTCAAATAAATGGAGGATAGCACAATTCACTAATCTCGTGTGCGCTACAGCTCCTCCATCCGCTTTCGTCAAGGGTCCGTGTACATACAGTGGACTCTTACTCGGCAGCAGGCACAAATCTTGATGCTGGGCGACGATGCGAATTTCATCGTTGTTGTTGAACGTTGCCGATGCCAAAGGCTGATGTGCATGAACCTCGTAATGGGCGATATATTCATCGAAGACGATGGGTTTTTGAATTTTCAAGATCTCCTCCATGGCTTACGATGGTAGATGACAATGCAACAGCAGAGGAAACTATGAATTTTTCTTTTCACTGATTTTTTTTTCTTCTCTTTCGCACTTTGAGCCCTAAACTTCTTAGGAATTTTCGATTCTGCGGTTTTAACGCCTTGAGAGGTCGTCGATGACTGCTTGGAAATGGCAATGGTGATTCACTTTTATAACGAACTCCGGATTTGGTATTGAAAACGATGCCCATGTTAGGCTTTGATGTGCAATCTTATTATTATAACCTCTCCTGTGAAGTTCACCAATTGACCTTCTTGATCGACAATTCTCACCTGGAGATGATCTATTGCCTGTACGGCGATCGGGAGATAAATGATGTTTGATGGCACCTCAATGATCTTATATCCTGGTGGAACAGTCGGGAAGAACTCATGGACAGTGTGTACTCGCTATTCATTGATGTACGCTCCACTGATGATTTTGCACTCGACTCGTAGTGAATTGACCTTGAGAATCGTCACTGGCGAGTCAGATTCATGACTGATATGGGGCGGGAGAATACCGTGTATGAAGCCCAATAACCGCCCAATCGAATCTTCCGGATCAAAATTTATCGGGTGACTGCACCTGATTATACTCTTCAGAGTTTTATTGTTGGGCTTAAGGCTGATATTTATATTATATTCGGCGACCTTCTCAACCAAGAAATTCTCAATATCTTCAATTTCGTAACTCCTTGTAGGAATTTCAATAACTCTATCACCCACATAAAATTTGTTATTCCCGGTTTCAATATTGGGAATGGAATTGAAGGTTAATAGTTCAGCCAATCCCAGAGTATAATTCTTCAATGGTGATAATTCAATTGGAGGAAAGTAATGAGCCTCCAATGCCGAAGAAGTGCCTGATAATGTCAATGTAAAAGAGTCACTCATCGCACCTGATATCTAACTGATGTTTATAGAGTAACGTATTGAGGTTTTATATCATTTCTCCTTTGAGAAATTTCAGACATAAATGTCCACACACCACCGTATCATAATCTTGATAGCGTTCATGATTGTACTTGACAATGCTACCATCACCGAAGTAATCCATCAGGTCTTGAGGTGGACGAAGATTACCAAAACTATCAAAATAGATAATTTCATTCCTCCGCTTCTTCTATGCGACCCAATGCGTCCCAGGCCCGTCCTTATCATCAAGATTGACAATAGCCGATTCATATTTGCGTGGACCTGACTTGGGCATTTCGTTCCTTATGTATACGCCACGAAAATGTGGGATTCTCATAACCTTGGCGTATTTCATCAAGTCGGAGCGATTCAATCGCACACTAACAGAGAAGATGTGGAAACAGTTCAGCTTACAAGCAACATATGAGTGGATTCCTATAGTGAAGAGTCTCATTCAGTCCTATAATGACACCAAACATCGCACCATCCGGATGAAAGCTAAAGATGTCACTGCTGCTCATGAGAAGTACTTGTTACGTCATGTCTATGGAAAACTCAAGACTCCTCGCACAAAGGAAATCAAGTTCAAGGTTGGAGATAAGGTGCGCGTCAGCAAGTACAAGAACATATTCGAGAAAGGATATACACCCAACTGGACGACGGAGATATTCACGATAAGTGAAGTTGTAAACCAATCCTGTGACCTACAAGCTCATCGAATATGAGGACCAACCAATTGAGGGTGGATTCTACCAGGAGGAGTTAACGAAGGTCACATATCCTGACGTTGACCTCGTGGAGAAAATACTCCGAAGACGTGGAAACAAAGTCTTTGTCAAGTGGTTGAGTTTTGATAATTCACACAATAGCTGGATAGATAAGGATGCATTGTAATAAATAAATGGATAATAAAAAACTCATTTTTCGAAATTTTTTTCTTTTATTTACAATACCCATATGGCACAGTATCATGAGAGTTTCAGCAGAGAATTCTCTTGTCATCTTCCCAGCTTAGAGCTAATTTCTTCTGGTGTACAGTATGTACATCGTGCTTACTACTTTTGATTAAATACTGGGACTCGATAAAATGTTCATGATTCTCCAAATAATCTTTGTAATCATCGAACGCAATCCTTTTCAGTGTCGACCCTATCACTCCTTTCGCACGTTTTTTCGCTCTCTCATCACCATGAATTTTAAACTTGTACAATTTTGCTCTGAAACCAACAAACTCACTCATCACTTTTCCATTGCACTCATCCTTCATAAGTCCTAATACTTTCTTATTCACGAGCGGCATTCCATAAACATTATCGCTTAGATAATCGGATGCATCAAATCGAGCAATATCACGTTTCATACATTCATAAATATCAGGTACTTTGAACTCGTACAAAAGACTGTCTGTATCCGTATACATGAGCTTAGGACTATCACCAAATTCTCGTTTAATATAATCGTAATGGAAATCATAGATGAATATTTTGGATAGATCCAGAATTGAGAAACCAACGTAAATGGGTTTGTTGAAGAACATTTTCGTACGCTCCAATTGAACAATGACTAAATCATCAGCGAAGATGGTGCCACTGTGGAAGTTGGGTTGAGCGATGCGAACTTTGGCACCATATCTCTCCTCCCATTTCGTCACTAACTGCATGTCTTTTTGTATCCTGACATTCTTAATGGTTTTTCCGAAAACTGAATTGTTCATCAACTTGAAGAAATTCTTCTCAAACTCATTGCTCGATTCCTTTCTCAATTCTGTATTGAGGTCAATGTACGGTTTCAGCCATGGCGCCTGATTGAATTCCAGTACTCGCTTAATTTTCATCAATTTTAGCCCCAAATTTCACACATTGCTTGAGATTCTTATAGTGAATCACATAATTTTTCTTAGGAAGCAATGTCGTCATTAATTTCGAGATTTTCTTATTTGGGGGAACGAAATGTTCCGGGCAAAGTGGTAAATACTTGTGGGTCTCAATGAGCTCCTTGGAATACTCCAAGTCGACCTCAAGCATGTAGCCTTTGCTCGAATCATCTGCAATTGTGTGGATATCAACGATTGATGGATTAACCCACTGGAATGAGCCATAAGACAAGTACTGGGACATGGCTGCTCCATACAAGTTGTTCACATCGAAGTACATCAGATAAGAAGTCTTTTGGTTGGGGTCGAATTTTTCACCCATGTATTTATTGTGGGCACAAGTGTACCGATTGGAGCATTGAGCCATCCTTCCTCGAATCCCCTTCTCAATGAATAAGTGCATCTCAATGTCTGTAAGAAGCTCAAGGTTGACACCAGTGCAGTTCAGCATAGCATCAAATGCTAATCCTGGTGCCGTGTAGTCATGGAGGGGATCGAGTTTGTACACCGAAGAACAAGTAGGTCTGAAATTTTGGAAGATATCCACCAAAAGCACAACATCTGTTGCCAGGTAGAGGTCGGAGCATTCATCCAAAAATATGATGCCAACAACATCCCAAACTCTCTGCGCATGCGCATAATCTTCAGCAGAGACATTCTCATCACTCAATTTTGAATAGAATTTCTCGATGGGAGGCAATTGAGGATCATTGAGTTTCTCCCAAGAGTCCACGTACTCCTATGGGAAAACTCCTGTCTTAGTCAAAAGCTGAAATTTCTCCACATCATCATTGCGGTATTTTTGAGTAATGGATTTGTCAAAATCATTGAGGTAGGATGCCAATTTCTCCAAACTACTCGCCATGAACCGTAACGAGTCAATGAACCGAAATCGAACCTCAGTCTCATCAACGTGTTTCGTGAAGGACATGTACTTTTCCTTATTGAGAGGGAGCAGATCTACTGAACCTGGGAATTGTGTTGCAAGAGTCTTGATGAGAAAATGTAAGTCGTAGCCGGAGAGGTTATGAAAAACTACTGGAATCGTGTGAGAATTCTTGAAGTTGACATTACATGCCGGGTGTGCTGGACCGCGATACTTGCCCGTGAAGTGGCAGTGATCGCGGTGTTTCTTATCAGTTGGACTGAAGGGTTTCTCGCAAATGTGACAAACTTGAGCATTAGCAAAGTCCCAAGCTTGCTGAGGTGAGAGAGGCTCCATCGGTACGTTTGTCTTCAAACAGGTGTCGACCTCATGAGCTATTCTTAGCAATTCATCTATGAATCATTCGATACAATCGGGCCCACGATTCATCTTGAATTGTGATCGAGTGTCATCAAAAGCACAATGCAAGTAAAACGCTACACTATGAGGGATGTGCTTCTGATACACAGATTCCGATTTAGTTGGTTCCAAGATGCACTGCAAATCTGCATAGATAACAAATGGAACCCTTTCCTTAAATCGATAATTCTTAAAACTTAGAATATGTTTACCCTCTTCTGGTAGCACCATTCTATAGTTGTTAATCTCAATACAGTATTTCTCATGATGCTTGAATGATGATTTTGTAACAAAATGGCCTAAACAGTGATCACAAAACTCTATATGATGATTATGACTGGATAATTGTGAACTTACTAATCGAGATAAATTCTTAATCCAAGCGAAACGATAGATGGGTTGCGTATCGTATTCTATTTGTGCATTATCCCAAAGCAACAAGAGATGAATCATGGGCCAGGTAGACTTGGTTTACTTATATATAGAGGTACAATGTCTTTATCATCATCTATACTGTGAACATTGATCGATAGTCCATTCGTTCGCTCGAATTTCGGAATGTTCTTCAACTGCATTGGGAACTACAGGCCGGTGTAGTTGAGATGTGTCACTCCATCCGGTAGAATAGTCTCAGAGTAATGAGGATATGAGCTCAGACGATCGGTATGCATTGCAGCTGGGTGTAACGCTGCTGTCACCGCCCACAGAAAACAATGCTCATCGTTATTCTTGATGTTCACTAGTGCATTCTTGGACTGCACGTGTTGAGGTAGTGAGATGAATGTATTTGCGTCCGCTGCAAGTGGTACATACTTGTTGATGTTGACAGTGAGGTTCATAACCTCAATCAGTTCCCACCCTGAGTCTTTCTCCTGGAAATCCTCAATTTTAGCGAGCAGTCGTTTTGTGAGATTTTGATCGAACCATTCCTTGATATTGGTAGTAGGTAAAAGGATCTAATTTTTTATGTTGAAATATTTTGTCTCTTCAATCACTTCACCATTCTTCCTCACTTGAAACTTCACATTCCTTTTCACTTGAATAGAGTCCTCACTAGGCGAGGACTCCATTGGCCTTGATATTTCCTTGTTGTTGCAGAACCTCCTGCAAACGAACGACTGCCAGATATTTGGCATCTTTCAGGAAGGACTGAGGATCCTTGTGACTCAGATTAACGATCACTCTGTTCTGATTCGGTTCTTGAAAGCGGATTCTAGATCCTTCCAGAGTACTTCATCTTTTGGTTTCGATGGGACACCGATTACGCCACCATGCTGTGGCTTCTTCTTCTCTTTGAATCGTTCGTAATGTATGTAGAGCAATGAAACTGTTGTCTGTATCCTTATTTTTTCTCCAACGGAAAGATTTTCAATTTTTTTCAAAACTTTCTCGTAAAGTCGGATATAATGTTGACACTTTCCAATCCAACAAACAATATCTTGAGAAGATGCACTCTTATATGCCAACTGCAGCCTCTCCAACGCTTTCAAGCACGACTTGGGATCCATTTTGATGTGATCACTTATAAATGTACACATACGAAAAAACCTTGGTTGCTAGCTGGCGACTTGCGAACTGACCGGAGTCACACGAACCGCGTGCTTTTTATAGGGAAGGCCTAAGATAATTTCGTTCGGTTCAGATAAAATTGCAGATGATTTCCGATTTAGATAATTTTCGAAATAATTCCATACAACCAATTCTATTGGTGGAGAGAAATTCAGATAAAGTTATAGATAATTGTTCTAGATGATTTCCCTAGATAATTCTATACAACGAATCCTATTGGTGGAGAGAGATAAAGTTTGAGATACAGTACTAGATAATTGTCCTAGATGACTCCCCTAGATAATTCTATACAACGAATGCTATTGGTCGAGAGCAATTCATTGAGAATTTCAGATAAATTCCAAGATAATGCTTCTAGAGAATTTCCCTAGAAAATTCCCTAAATAATCCTATACAGCGAATCCTATTGGTCAAGAGAGGTTCAGATAATACTGAAGGCTTACTAATCTTAGAAACCCTTCGGAAGGAAATTCTCAAAATATGTGCGCATTTTCTATAGAAACGGATAATTCTTCACTTAGTCGAGATGTACGACGTAATTCTACAGGAACGAACATGTTTCAGTAGATTGACAACTATTCCGAGAACTGTTTGCGTCGCGACTTTGGAAGTATTTACATCTAAGTGGAGTACAAACTACGCAATTGGGATAAACACGTTCCAAGGTTGCATTCTATTGGTCGTGAATGATTCTTGGAACAGTTTACATCGCAATCTTCCAAGTGTCGACGTTTAAGCGCAGTACAAACTACGTAATTTAAGCAACAGCGCTTCAAAGTTGCATTCCATTCTTCATAAACAATTCTTGGAACGGTTTACATCGCAATCTGCGAAGTATCGACGTTTAAGCGCAGTACAAACTACGTAATTTAAGCAACAGCGCTTCAAAGTTGCATTCCATTCTTCATAAACAATTCTTGGAACGGTTTACATCGCAATCTGCGAAGTATCGACGTTTAAGCGCAGTACAAACTACGTAATTTGAGCACACACGGCTCTAGGTTGCATTCCATTAGGTGTAAACAATTCTTGGAATTGTTTACGTCGCAATCTTCCAAATATTGACGTTTAAGTGCAGTACAAACTGCGTAATTTGGATAACGCGTTCCAACGCGTAATTTGGAATGCGTAAGTTGGTAACACGTTCCAAGGTTGCATTGGGCGTGGACAAATCTTGGAACTATTTACGTCGCGATCCTAGAAATGTTGACGCATTATTATGGGAAAATATATGCCTACATTTCTTTCAATTTGCCTTCATCCTTGGAAAATCAAAAATCAGTACCACACAAAAATCATGATGCGGTATTCAAAAATCAGAATGCAGCATTCGGAAATCAGAAAGCAGTATTCAGAAATCACCATGTACGATTCAGAAATAAAAAATCAGAAATCAGGAATCAGAATCAGAAATTGGAGAGAAGCGATCAGCAGCCCGCGAGTGGCATCGCTTGGCAGCCAGTATCACTCTACCTTACCGACTCACTCCTGCCTCAAACTCAACTCGCATACCGCCAACTGGCGCTTGGCACTAAGTATGACGCCCCATCCGATGCCACGGGTGCACGGCTCCCGCATATTTCAGCATTGATGAGCACGCCGAACGAGGCCCGACGTCACGCCCACACGCGCACGATCTTCGCCTCGCTGACAATATCTCCCAATCACAAGCCCCTATCTACAACCCCCTCACCCCAACCCATTCTACCCACAGTGGCAACCCATCACGAAAATTCAAATTTTCCGCACTCTGATTGGTCAATGGACCCACCCACTCCTGACCCAGGTCATATTTAATTAGTGGAATTCGAATTTCGCGCGCTTTTGTGACGTCACTTCCGGTTGGTTACGTAGCCCCCTCCCCCGCCTCACCTGCCCTGTAGTGGTGGATTTTCGAATTTCACGCCACAACGTCACTTCCGGTTTGGCGAAATTCAAATTTCCCGCCTTTTTGTGACGTCACTTCCGGTTTTGGTGGTCCAGAACCGGCACTGCATGTTTACTATGAGAAATTGTCCATTTCTACGAATCATCTAGGAGAAAAAAAGATCTCCATTTTTTATATTAATGAAGAAAATTCACTTACTTCCATTCTTGGGAATGCTGTAAACTGATTATTTATTGATTATCAATAAATAGGCTGTTTCTCATAGCTATATTGAGTTTCATAATTCACAAATTAGAGAATCAAACAAGCATCCAATATTTCATTCACATAGACGATAAATTTCTTCGTAACTAACAACTCTATGATCGCTAAGTAGGTAACGATAACGACTGGCAACATAAAGGATAAAGGATCGAATCCTAACGAGTCAAATTTTTCTCTCATCATTATCAGCAGTTATCGGTTTCTTTAGGAAGGATTAGCCGAAGAATGTAAATGAAATTATAAAAAAAGAATGTATTATTTAATTTTTTCAATAATGAAAACGAAGTATCGGGTGGGTCACGGGTGCCAATCATCGGTCGACACTTGGCTTCCAATATCAGAACAACGTTATCAAACCAATAATTAGCCGAGTCTGGGCCAATGCCGATTGAGGTTCGGCACCCAGTACTGGTCCAATCTTAGCCTTTAAATCTTATTCAAATCTTATTTTTTATGTATTATAATAAATTACGTCGCGCATATTTTTCTATGCATTTCTTCAAAATTTGATGTCGACTGATAATTAGAGCGAATAAAAAATAACATTTTACTAAGTTCCTCTATCTGCTGATTTTCAGTCTCTGATGCCTGATCTATTTATACTCGGGATCTCGATGACTAGAAAATATTCACCTCACGTTTCTAAATTCCGCCCAAAAAAGACCTCTCTATCTCCACCAAAAGATATTAGAAAACCGTTGTTTCGAATGTCAACTAGAAAGATGGCAATCGTTTTTATTTGTCGGAGCCAACCGACAGGAGAATAATTATTCTGTCGAGGTGACAGAGAGACGTTAGCCTTCAGAGAGATTGTAGATTGGAGAACGGTTTTTGGCTACCGTGTAGGTAGCTAAAAACTAAAAAGAGGAAGTTAAACTATCTTCTCTCCTCGATTCTCTTTCGAAGTTTTTCCACTCATTTCTGACCCGTCTTTGAAAATGTGTGCATGCCTTTGTTGTGTACCGCTGAAAGAAGCGTACGACCAGTGGAAGCACTTTAGATATCGTCTCATTCCCTTTTTCCTATTCGAGATAACACTCAGAATAAACTGCTCGTTCTGTCACCTCCCCCTTCATTCCCAAATGCTCTCATACTCTGCTTGATTTTTCCACCATAATCATAATTGAAAGTTAATAACTTGAAAAGAATTATAAAATTACTCGAATCGAAATTCTGTGAGTTACGTGTAATTAATCACTATTTGCTGCTGAAAAAAAAAATGTAATGCACTAATGACCCACGAGTAATTCGAGAAGTCAGACGGTTCAGATTGAATTAAGAACATAATCTCAGTAATTTTTCATTATTCAACCTGCAATTTGAAAAAAATGTAAATAAAAACTATCGATGCGCCTGATTTCACAACTTTTCTTAGAGGAAAGATAGACTCCGAATTTGTTTTGTTGCAATCGATGCATCCATGCGTAGGTTGAGTCTGATCGAATGCTTAGCTGAGTAGAATCAACCTTGAGTTATTTAGATAAACCTTTTGCAATCTGTTACTTTTTTC